AGCGCCCCGGCGCCACCCCCCGCGGGGACAGGGTCACCGATGCCGGATCCCGACGGTCATGCCGCCGCTGGGAGGGCTAAGCCGAAGAAAGAAGGCGGAGGAAGGCATGTCGCCGCCGCCAGAGGAGTGACGGCGGAGGGAGGGGTCCGGCGGTGCACGCATTGCGCGTCGGAGAAGACGCCGCAGTGGAGGACGGGCCCGCTCGGTCCCAAGACGCTGTGCAACGCTTGTGGGGTCCGGTTCAAGTCAGGTCGGCTGGTGCCGGAGTACAGACCGGCGGCGAGTCCGACGTTCCTGCACTCTCACCGGAAAGTGATGGAGCTCCGGCGACAGAAGGAGCTCATAAGACAACAACAACAGCTTCAACTTCACCAGCAGCTGCAACAACAACCGCCGTTTCAGCCGCAGTAGCTGTGACTGCGTTTGGCGTTTTTATCGCTAAATTGATGGCGTGTCACGTTCAGAGCTGCGATGATCACGTGACGTGACGGAGGGGGCAGTGCTCAAAATCGTAAACTCGGGCTAATCTCCCCCTCGTTAATTAAAAAATTGATTTTTTTTTGTTTCGCTTTTTCTCTTACGTTATATCATCCTTTTAACCTAATGATAAAATTTAATTAAGAAAAAAGGGCACATTTAAATTTCCTTTCACTTTCACCAAGCTGCGTCAGTCATTGAAGTCTCAACTACCACCGTGCCAATGGGCAATGGCATGTACGTTTCCTTTTGGTAGTGTGAGAGATCGTGTTGAGCCATCCTCATGTTATAATAATTTAAATCGACGCCTTTTCATATTTATTTCGGTGCCCTCACATGTAAGCTAAGGGCTTTCTTCTTTTATAAACATAAAATTTTCCCTTTCTACCGCTTGGAGATGTCTTAATCAGACATGATTCAACTTCGGTCTACCGTTAGACATGCCTCAAGACCAACGGAAGAACCCGAGCCTTGACCCGAAATAACCGGGCCCGTTTTAATTCTCAATCTTTCCCCATAAATTCTAATCTAACACAGGCGATTACACATTACAATTGTTTCTAGTATAACTCTATATCATCTTAACAGTGTTCAAGAAGCATCGAGTAATGGCCATACCCAAAGTTTCTTTCCAATGAATCAAGTCCCATACCAAAATCTAACAATCTAATTTCACATTCAGATGCAACTTGGAATTTGGGATAAGAGTCAACGGGATTGAAGTTGTATAAAGAGGATAAAAGATTCAGCCCATCAAGAATTTATCATTGCGCAAATTCTGCCTCTATCTGGGGGAAAAAGGGGGAAACGAAAGAAAGAAACGAGCACAAGAAGGCATACTCTTCATCTATATTACCCTTGTTTTCAAGCATCTCTCTTGACAAAGTAGAGCTTGCCCATGACATGGAGAACGGCGACAAAGGCGATGAAACCGATGCTCATGACAAGCACGACGTTCGGGGATATCTTGAGACCGGGTGCATCGTCCGTGTAGAACTGGAGCATTGTTCCTGCCGCCCCTCCGGAGGCCCCGGCTCCACTGCTCGTCCTCCTCCTCCTCATGCTTGCAGCCGCGGCTGCACTTCCTCTCGGGGGAGCTCCACCACCCGCCATTCTTTCTTCGCTTCTGATTTAAGATTCCTGCAAATATGAGGATTAATTGACAATAGAGAAAGCTAATAGATGAGACTATACCCAAAACACTGGTCAGGAGCCGTTTTTATATTCATAGAAAGAAATCCTGAAGGGAACTAGACAAATGAGAAGATTAATCCAATCAGGAAAAGAAAAAACTAAGATGAAAGGTCAACATGTAAACCTACAGCAACTCAATCGTAATCTACGCGATTAGAATTCCAACAGAAAAATGCCTAGAACATGATCTAAGCAAACAATTCGCATCGTCGGAAATGTGAGAAACGAAGTTCCATCAGTAGAACTCAGCAAGGTCCCAATTCATCAAGCCTAAATTACCCCGCACGATAATTTGGCCCATACCCATTCCGTATCTCGAATCACAGCTAACAATGCATAATAATTTCTGTCAGTGGCAGAGACCCAATCTATAGACAAAGAGTCTCTCCCCAAACAAACCCTAAAGACACAATTTAGCCGATTCGAACATGCTCGACAGAAATCGTCACAGATCGGAGATCCAAACAACCGAATCACGAAATTAACATCAGGATCCAATATTTCAGAGTCAGATCTAAGCACTAATCTTACAAGGCATGCAAACATGAGATCGAAGGATCTACAGATTTTATTCGGTCCGAGAGAATCATACAACGAAAAAAAACCGAAAAAATACATGCATGGATACCGCGATCAATGAACAGAGAACGAATCGGAGAAGAAAAGGAACCAACCTGAGTCGGGTTCGAGATTCAGATGGCGTCGCAAAAGGAATACACGAAGATCCAGGCCCGGAAGTCTACCGGAGCCGTTGTTTATATATCTGGTATAAACCACTTGACAAAAGGCCACATATAACAAACCAATCACATCGTGCCACGTCAGGACTAAATCTCAACAAAAGATCGTGACCAGAAGTGGGACTGAAGCCCAATTGAGCCCAAACTATGGCCCGTTTAGCCCAAAATGAAAGATGCTTTAAGCCCAAAGGTTTCTGAATATTTGAAACCCAAATATAAAACCGGCCCATTCTTCATCGTATTGTCATGATATTCATTCTATCGTGAATATCGTGACTAAATCTATCTATATATATAGTCTTAAATACAATTTAGATATCATATAGTAAAATGGAAATATGCCATTATACAATTATTACAGACAATCGTGTAACTCTCCTTTTTCCTGTTATTTGGTGAAATAAATGAGAGGATACCCCATGAGGAAAGGTGGAAACTTTGCCGACGGCGTCTAAGCCCCACCTCTAGATTCGAATCTCTTCTCTCTCTCTCTCTCTCTCTCACTAATATTATAGTTTTGTTTAATACTTTATAATATAATTTAATAAAAGTTAACAAGTTTAGAAAAGTAATCAAACCGATCCCCATGCGTAGAAAGGAGTAGAGGCAGCTTCCCCGATGTCATTAATGGAGAAATAAATACAAAGAAAGTGGAATGAAGTTTCTCGAGTTGTACGTACGGTAGTACGTCTGAGCACTTAGATCCACAGAGAGACAGAGAGAGGGAGAGAGAGAGAGAGAGAGGGAGGGGTACAAGATAGTGTTTCGTATCCAATGAACCACAGGTGATGGAACCTGACATTGCATGTACGGTCTTGTAGTAGACATAACTCTACTACTTGCACGTACATCTTTGGCACGACCACCGATGCAACATTGAATAATTCTGTAACATTTTTTTTTTCTTTTGTGAAATGGGTACCAATTCCTTTTTATCTTTTTATTTGATCGTGATTAAATACGTTACAATATATCATAATATATTCTTTTTTCTTTGACGTTGTTTTAGTTGCCAACAATTAATGATACGATATCCACAGGACAAGCTATTTAAAACGATGGACCAAACGTATATATAGATATTTTCAAGTCCGATATCTTTTATATATATATATATATGTGTTGTTACATGCAACAAAGCATGGAGAATCCAACGAACTCGGTGCATATAGTCGGTTGAAATTGAAAATAAATACATTAAATTTCATGTACGATAGGTTATAATCTATAATGATAGTGGGGATACAGATAAAATAATAAGAATGATTGAAAGAGACATAGCGAGGGTTATATAGTTTCAGAGGACGATATTTTTGTAAGGAAAGGATCCATCGTGGCCCTATTTGCATTAAACGCCACGGATTTCGTGTCGTGGCAGTCGTTTCGTTTTTGGTGTTTGACAATTTATTTCTTGGTACTTTATTACACGTCTCTCGACTTTAGCCTGTTTTTTTTTTTTTAATAAATGATGAAGTTATTTATAATATTCAATAAATATAAATTAGGTTTTTTTACTAAAAAAAATATACGAAGCCAAATTATGAGGCGTCTACATCAACGGAGCTTTTCTGTTGGATTGTTTTTATTTTGTTATAAATATTTTAGTTATTTCGCGTATAATGTAATGTTTGGAGATGAATAAGAGGTCGTGGGTTCAACACCCAGAGTATGTAGATTTCTCCTCCGGTCACCTTCGGGTGCTTCACATCCCACACGTGTGGTGCGGGTTGTGCGTGTGGGTCGGGATTAATCTGGACCCTTTAGGTCTGGGATTACCCGATTATCAAAAAAAAAAAAAATGTTTGGAGATGAAATTGAAAAACACTTGTCTGAAGTGAAAATATTTACATGTGGTGATATTGGGAAGAGAACAATATGCGTTGTCCGAGAGAAGAAACCCGCACGTGCGAGCGGCTGTGCGGTCTCTCCAGTTTCGAACTCGTCGTTGACGGGTTTACGTCGAAGTTATCACACGTGTGACCGAAAACAGTACACGCGTATAATTGGCACAGAGCCGTGGGTCCCACAGCAATAAAACCCTCGGGCTCCATCGGAGACTCTCTCTCCGCCCTTCAAAAACTGTCGGCGGAGACCCTTTTTAAAAAAAAATTATTATTAGTTATTCATTAAAGAGGGGGGTACTTTGGATTTGGGTTTATGGATTTTGTTATAATATTCGATTTTTATATAAAATGCTTAGCTGTTACATCTGTACGTTGGCTTGTAAAACGGAGGCACACAAATCTTCTTACATATTTGATACTATATTTTTTTTTTTGTATTTCGTAGCTTCTCTTCACCTTCCATATGACTCCAAAAACCAATGTCGTCGTCTCACTTCTCGATAAAATCCATTTTTAAAATCATCTACATTCTATATTATTTTTTCAAAATCATTCGTGTGTGTTTATATGGATCTCAAGCTTTATTGTTACGACGAGATAAATTATAAATAAATTCAAATCAGATACAAAATTAATTATACAAGGATATACAAGTATGAAGTATTGCATCAATCTGAATATGACGGGTTAAAAATACAGTAGCATATATATATATATATGTGTGTGTGTGTGTGTGTGTGTGTGTGTGACTGAGAGAGAGAGAGAGAGAGAGAGAGAGAGAGAGAGAGAGAGAGAGAGAGAGAGAGAGAGAGAGAGAGAGAGAGAGAGTTAAGAAAAGACACCACAAAAACGTTGAAAAGACCTCGTCGTATGCCAAAAACCCAAAGGCCGTATCTAGAGGTCGAGTAATAATATATATATATATATAATATTATATATTAAAAGAGTCTCGGCTGGTTCCGGTAAGGTAAGAGTTTCAGAGTAAAAAAAAAAGATGACAATATATATAAATGTTTTACCTTTTTTTGGCGTTTTTTATTTACCAACTTGTCAAAGAATATTAATTAATATACGGGTCGAACGAGATTTAAATCTGGAAGATTTATAATATAAACATGCATGTTAGGATTCAAAACCTGAAACTACCGTACTTGCACGAACTGTATTTAATTTAAAATACAATATAGTTTCTAACTAACGTCTTAACTAAAAATAAATATAAAAATTAAATTGAAAGAAGGGAGAAGGAAGGTGTCCTACATCTGAAGAGTATTCCCTCGGGTATATCGTATATATAAACCTCTCATAACCCCTCTCTTTCATTTCAAATTCAACACCACACAAAGGCATATTTCCAAACAAAAAATAAATAAAAAATAAAAGAAATCGATAGTGTCTCCCTGCACTAAACGACGAATAAAAATCGTCCCTTTACGTTTCTCCTACAAAAACACTGTTTTTTTTTCCGGCGACCCATTTATCAGAATCACCGGCGAGCAATGGCGGCGGAGAATTCACTGGCGATCTCACCGAGAAAGCTCCGGTCCGATTTGTACTCTTACTCTTACCAAGACGATTCGGACATGCCTCTGGTTATCTCTGTTCTGTCTTCTCTGATCGAAAGGACTCTTGCTCGGAACGAAAGGATCGCTCGGAGCTGCAGATGGCCTTCGAGGATCGGCAAGACACGTGTCTTCGATTGCCGTGAAGTCCCCGACATGACGATCCAATCGTATCTCGAGAGGATTTTCCGGTACACCAAAGCCGGTCCGTCGGTTTACGTCGTGGCTTATGTTTACATCGACCGGTTCTGTCAGACCAATCCCGGTTTCAGGATCAGTCCCACGAATGTCCACCGTCTTCTCATCACCACCATCATGGTCGCCTCCAAATACGTCGAAGATATGTAAGTGTGTGTGTATATATATACGTGTGCCCGAACTCTCAGCATTTTACAAATCATCGAAAAAGTTTAGGCATTTCTGATCACTGATGAAAAAAGAGGAAGACCCATCTCAAAAATCGAACTTGGATTCCAGATTAGCGGTCTGATTAAGACAAGGGTTATCCTAATTAGCTTTCCTTTCTTGTTCACCTGTTGATCCGAACAGGAACTACAGGAACTCGTACTACGCGAAAGTAGGGGGATTAGAGACAGAGGACATGAACAGACTGGAAGTGGAGTTCCTGTTCTTGATGGGATTCAAGCTGCATGTGAACGTGAGCGTGTTCGAGAGTTACTGCTGTCATCTGGAGAGAGAAGTGAGCATCGGAGGAGGCTATCAGATCGAGAGGGCCTTACGGTGCGCCGAAGAGATCAAATCCCGACAAATCGTTCAGCTTCCTAAACACAACCAGTTTGCTCGAATCTTGTTGTAGAGATGGAAAAAAAAAACTCTGTTGATACACGTGTCCTGTTTTTTCTCGTTTTCCTTAGTTTGTCGTTTTGCGCTAGCCGGTTTGACTTTTTGACCGCCTTTGTCGGTAGAGGGTTTGGCTTTTATTTTCATGTAAATGTACATATACGGAGGAGAATATACAGAGAGTGATGTTTGTATGAATTAATGTATCATCAAATGTATCTTATAAGGTTTGGAATCTTATTAATTAACTCTGTTACATTAGTGAAGTATTTATACAAATACTAAACTCTAATTACAAATTGTGAAATTACAAATATATCCCTCTATATATCTTTTCCCAAATGGATTGAGGAAATTGCAGCTCTTTATCTGTTACATACACCATCTGCAACTTTTCTAATTCTTTTTTTTTTTTAAATTATAGTTTCAATCCGATAAAAAATTGTATTTCTTAAGATGTAAATTGACCACCAATATAAAGAATAAAATATTTTAAAAAAAATTGACTACAAAAAATATTTATAGAGAAAAACAAATAGAAAAACACGCACACGATATTGGGCAAAATGCCAATTATGCCCAATTGATTAATTAATCGAAATTCGTATTATATGCAAGTAACGAATTTGATACTTGTGGTTACTTGTAAAACCCCATTGCCGTAGAGTGCTTGTAGATCTCACATATACAAATCCGAACACAACTTGAATTTATATCCGACAACTTTTTTGTAGCGATGTTTGTTTATTTCCCCCTACCATTTTTATAATAAAACTAATAGGTAGGTTTTAGATTTTTTTAGTTTGATACGCATTTCAATTTTCAACCATCCATTTTATACGGCAATAGGCTTTATAAAACAAATAAAAATATTGATAATTCACAAAAGAAAACAGAAATACATTAGTCTTGTGATCATCATAAACATTGTATTTTTTTTTTTAAATTTGGTGCTGTTTCTACCTGTAAAGCCAATGTGCAATAGAGAATGTATTATAATTAAAGAAAAATATTAATTTAATTAAGTGGTTATGATAATTTTCTACCTAATTTTTTTTTCAAAGTATGGTCATGACATTCAATAATGATCACAGGTATGTGTGCATTGAGAAATGGGCAAATTGCTAAAAGATATATTGTCGAATTACTTCGAATATCTGTTTTATTATTTTTAATTTCGAGTGGGTCAAATCCTTACCTCCATCTCATAATTTTCAAACTTGTTTTGTCTTTCGACGTATTTAGGATTTTTTTTTTTATAATATTTCAGTGGAAACAAACAATAATCAAACAACCTGTATTAATAAATTCCAAAGTGTTCCCTACCAAATAGTAGAGTTAAATTAAATATTGGTATTAGCGTGCACTTAGTTATTTAATCTTATGATCAATTAAACCACTACCATATATATATATAATCTTACAACTCTTTATTAACTTCAGATATTTTATAAAAATATAATTTTTATATATTTCTAAAAATTGTTTCCATGTTTTGGTATAATATATTATTTACATAATCGATTGTTTGATCTGACGTAAATTTTGCTGTCAATTTTTTGATAGAGAATGCAAATAAAATACAATAAAATGAAATCCTTGTGATTCATATTTTATGAATTCCATAACATATTCATGTTCTAGGAAATGGGCATAATTCCTAAATATTTTTTACATTGAATTTTTTAATATTCGAAGAAACAATATTTCAGTCACGGAGCATAATAAAATCGGAGACAACAGGAAACAAAAACATATCCAATAATCAACATGTTCGCATATCGTTTAATTTATATCCACATAATTTGAAACATATCCACATTGATTATTGTACATAAATTACGAAATGAATTATATGTTAGGATTTGCGTGTTGATTTTATGTCCAATGATTGCCTAACCGATGGGTTACAAACAGATGTACCAAGATGTTTGTCTTTTTTTATATATATAAATAATATATTCTCCTAATACACAATTTATATAATGCATCTGCTTATTTTTTAAAAACAAAATTAGTATGAGGCAGATGTGGATTAATTGAACCTTTCCTATTTTCGGATATGAACAGCACACATATTTAGAAGAATTTAACAAATACAAGGTTGCATTATTCATATATGAATATGTGTACGACAATTAAAAATTTCATAGAAGATATATAACTAAAAAAATCTTAAAAATGTATTTAAAATCATTTCAGTTACATCAATCTATAATTGAAATCCAAAATGTAAAAGATACTGAAGCCGAAATTTGAGTGTGTGGATATATATACATGTATATATTATGGATGGGAGAAAGGTGTAGTGTGGTTCACGAGCATTTACCAAACCAAACACATCAATGATTAGGCCTAATCCTTTGCACTAAATTATTTTAAAAGCAAGATTAGGATTGAGATGTTGATATGATGCCCAATAATTGCTCCTTTAATTGTCCTCATAAACATCTATACGAACCTTGACTCTTTTTTTTTTTAATTCTGACTTTTTGTTTTCTTTAATATTTTCATGTTCTTGTTACATATATACAAGTTATATATATATATATATATATATATATATATATATATGACCCATTTTATTTTAATTGGGTGTATTAAGTTGTCCTCTATTTGTTATATGTCTTTATGCTATCAATGACCATAAAAAAAACTAATATTGATGAGAGATATATATTTGAGAACGAAAAATAATAGAAAATCATAAATATTTGAGATCTACAATAATAAGGTAAAATTAAATTTAGTTGTTTAATATAGATATCTTAAGCATCTGAAAAATCGAATCTAAATTGAAAAATATCATAGATCATCTTAGAAAAACTTCTACATCCATTATTTTGTCATTTTTTTCAGCGATCCATTATTATCAATAATTTAAAAAATAAATTAAAGGACGCGAGCAGTGAAAACGCGAGTGGGCCTAGTGGGCCATGATTTGGACTTGGTGTGAAGTTCGAATGGGCTAACAGAAATCAATTGAAGTTTTGGATGTGTTTTCCAGATGGGCATTATGGACTAGCAAACTTGTCCAAATATATGTTTGGGCTTTCTTGTCGATCGTTTTCCGATGTGTATATATATATATATGTTCGAGTGCAATTTTTATTTTTTTTTTATAACCAAGATGGTTTCCCGGGTCTTTGCCCTGACTACATCCACCCTAGGTCCGGGACCAACCTTTGTATATGGACCATTTTGATCCAGAAATTACATCTCTCCCCACCAGTAAAATCGAACCCATGACTTCGATGATAACTTTGTCACCTCTCTGTGGCTGATCCACCGATTGTTGGATATGTTCGAGTGCAACTTGTTTCATGTATTTTAAAATTCTGATTTTTTTTTTTATTAAATTATTGAAGAAAAACTTTTGGGTGGGATCTCGGTACATTGAAGTTTTTTTATTTGGGTTCAATTTTTATTAAAAAAAATATCATTTCTAAAAGAACGTTCGTATTTATTCATAATTTTTCCGAATTTGACACGGAATTGGGATACTTTTTTTTTAATTGAAAATGAGCAACGTAAAAATGATAAACTCAGCAAAAAAAAACTATGTATAATAGCGGAGAATAATAAATTCCTTACAATACATTTGGATAAAATGGGAAAAAATGAGATTAGAGTTCCACAAACAGATTTTTCGGAATATTTAAGGGTAATAGTTTCCAAATACAATGACAATAACTAAGACATGTAAGAGTAGAGACAAAGCAGTTTTCTGTTGTGTGTTAAAATAAAACGCACCAGAACAACGAACCGTTTTCTTACATCTGAAGAGTATTCCCTCGGGTATATCGTATATATAAACCTCTCATAACCCCTCTCTTTCATTTCAAATTCAACACCACACAAAGGCATATTTCCAAACAAAAAATAAATAAAAAATAAAAGAAATCGATAGTGTCTCCCTGCACTAAACGACGAATAAAAATCGTCCCTTTACGTTTCTCCTACAAAAACACTGTTTTTTTTTCCGGCGACCCATTTATA